TGAAATCTTGAATTATTTTAGTAAATGTTCATTAAAGGGGTGAAGGTGGGCACTGTTAGAACTAAAAAGTGAACTTAGCAAAGTAACAACTCACTATAAATTTTCATTTACATTTTTATATATTAGCAAAAAGTGAATACAAAATAAAAATTTCTAAATGATGTGTAATAACACATCATACATCTAGAAATAATTCTAATGAAAGACATGCAAACCTTCCCGTAGAAAATTGAGAAACATTTTGAAGGAAATGAAAGATGACCTAAAAAAAGTAGGATATACGAGGTCGGAAGGGTGAATATTAGAAAGATGGCTGTTCTCTCCAAATTCATCTGTAGATCAATGCAATCTCAATCAAAATCCCACCAGGTTTTCTTTTTGTGTGCATGGAAATTTAAGTCTATTCTAAGCATTATAGAAAATGAAGAGGATCAATATTAGCAAATATGATATTGAAGGAAAGAACAAAATTGGGGCCGTTGGCTGCCAGATATCACAACTTATTTTGATGATTCAGTGGTTAAGATACTTTGGTATTAGCACAGGCTTAGAAAAGTAGGCCAGAATAGAAAAGAATTCATAAAGACATCCACAGATTGTAACTTGATTTATGATGAAGGTGGCAGTGTAGTGCAGTTTTTGTAAATGGTGTGAGGTCAGTTGAATAGCTAAATGAGGGGGGAAATGAAGCTAAATTCCCTCTCTTTACCATACACCAAAAAAAGCAATACCAACCAGATTGTAGGTCTCAGATAAGACGTAAAATAATCAAATTTCTAGAAAACAATGTAGGAGGATCTTTTCAGGAGAAAAAGCACCAGCAATGAAGGAAAAGATTGATAAATTGTACTACGATCAAGAACGTCTGTCACCAGAGTTACCAATAAGACAAGACACAGACTGGGAGGAGAATTCTTGAAAAATATTAACAATTCTGACAAATCAGTAAGATCAAAGATAGCCTAATAGAAAAAAAAATGGGTAAAAGACTTGAACAAAATTTCACAACAGCAGATATTCAAATATCCAAAGCATATGAAAAGGTGTTTCATCACAGTAGGCTTCAGAGAAATGCAGATTAAAACTGTGATAAGGTGTTACTACACACCCACCAGAAGAGCTAAAATTTAAAAGACTCGTAACACCAAGTTTGGAAAAGATGTGAAGCAAGTGAAACTCGTACACTCCTGATGAGAGTTAAATTTATACCATCACTTTGGAAATCTCTTGGCACTATCTGCTATATCTAAATATTTATAAATCCATGACCAAGGAATTCCACTCCTGGTGTATACCCAATAGCTATATATTCCTGTATTCAACAAAAAAATATGTGCAAGAGTGTTCACCACAGATTTATTTGTAATAATAATATTCCCAAGCAGGAAACGACCCTCATGTGCAACTGTTAAATAGATAGATAGTGATATATTCATACAAAGGAATATTATAAGCAGGGAAATGAATTAATTACTACTACTTGCAACAACATGATGAATCTTAACAAACCTAATGTCAGCTGAAGACACTAGATAAAAAGAGAAAATAGTCTGTATTTCCAAATTAGAAAAATAATTAATGGTGATAGAATAATGGTTACCTTTGGGGAGGGCACAAAAGCAGCTTCTAGGTTGTAGTTCTGTCTTATTTTTAGATCTGGGTGCTGATTACATGGGTCTGTTTACTTAAGCTATATACTCAATGATTTATGTGTTTTTTTCTGAATTTGCTGTATTTATTAAAACATAGACCCTCCAAATCATAGTTTTACTTTTAGGAAATTGAAATTACTTCATTATATTTTGAATCCTGAAACACAGTGTGCAAATTTTTAAGTTTTTTCCCCCAATCTTAATAATAAACAGCATGCGTGGTGGAAAATTATTTACAGGGTAATTTTTTGTTTTTCACTTTTCCCTAATTTATTACTTTATAAAAACTTGGCAGGTTAATGGATAGTAAACATGTATTAATACTTTAATTCCTTTCCTTATGTTATGCCTTGATATTAAAAACTTTATATGCATGATGAATGTTTTACTGTTGTGTTGTAATTGTCTAGAAATTTATCTATGTGAAAAACAAGACATGCTGCTTGAACAACTGAAACTAAGTAACATCTTTGGTATGGTAAGAATCTCTCTGTGTACTTTCTTTTATCTTGATGTGGACACATTGTATTAGGTGGCACTTACCATGAGAAATAGGATGTTGAGCAATTTCAAATTATATACAGATTAAAAATTTGAAATAAAAGAGAAGATAATGTATCTTAGATGTGGCATACACAGAAGTACTTAGGAGAAAGGAGCTTTGAAGTTAAAGATCCAATTTCAAGATCAAGCTCCATCATTTAGTATCTAGGTGACTTTTTGTTATTGTTGAGGAAAATTTGTAATACATTTAAATGTCATTTGTTTCCTGATATGTAAAATGCAGACAATAAGATTACATGTGAAGTGTTTATCTCAAAGCCTGGCACACAGTATCTTCTTACTATGTGACCTATAGATTTAATAATAATAAAAGTCTCTACCTAAAACAATAAAAATAAGTTACAGAATTTGAGAGAAGCAATAAAACTTATTTTTATAGGTTATGGAATAGTTCATGTTTATGTGCCCTAAATTTATAATTTATGTGTTAAGTATATTTAAAATTGTTAAAATATACTAGTTAAATTTATATATTGACTAAGATGTGAATACGGAGATAGAGATGTCATATGAATGTTCCATCTTTCATAAAATGTTGTAATATAATTTAGAATTAATTATTTTGTATTATAGTCTTAATTTATGTCCTTTCTGCTAAACCAAGTTGGTATTTAAATGACTATTTTATTTTCCTTAATGGAAATGTTTTTATTTGAAAAATAAGATTTCCTGTTTTTTGATCTTAAATGATAAAATATTTCATTGTTTCCTACAAATGGTAAAGTATTACTTTTCTTTAAATTAATGGAATCGATGTATTTTTTAAAAATCCCACATACTCAGATCATAAATTATTGGAATAAATATTCATAAGTCTCATGGGCTTTAAGAATTTGGTGATTGTTTAAACTATAAAATTGATCAAGTTTATTGAGAACTGTATACTTCCCTTCCTTGATTAGCTTCAATCCCTCCATTGTTTGTAGACATTTAATTAAATGATTCTTGTTAACATTCGTAAGAGATGTGTCATGAAATCGCTCTGCGTCACTTATGCATAGCTACAACTTTATTGCACTTTATCAGTCTTCTAACTCTGTGGACCATAGGTCTTCTCTTGTGTGTTTAGCTGGTAACTCACCTCCAGCACATGCTGCTGCCAAGCCTTTCTTTGGTATTTGGATACTGAATCTGTTACAGTATTGCTAACTAACTCCTGCTCCTTAAGAAACCATTTCTCTCTCACAATATAGATCATTAAAGAGCTTCTGTTGCTAGTACTAGTGACCATAACTCTTAATTACAAGTTCTCTTTCTTCTGGAAAAATCCTGCAACACTTTATCTTTGCACTGATACAAGTGTGTGTGTGTGTGTTTTACATCTATATGTGACTATAATAATAGGATAATAGAATGTCTATTAATCATTGAAAAAATATGGCATATCCTATTTTCCTGGTAAACATGAAAGGGAAATCATTTCACGTGTCCTTGAATTATTTTTCCTGAAAGAGAATAAATATAAGAATTTGTCATTTTAAAAGTTGAAAAGTGAGTGATAATTATACCATACTGGACATGACTAAATTGCTTCCCCGTGCCCCAGGATTTAAAAAAATAGATTAATCACTCTAATAGGTTAATATTTAAGGTGAGGACTTGAACTTTATAAAACAGCTAAATGCCTTAAAAACTTATAGTGAAAACCAGGTCTTTCCATTCAGTAAAGTGTTCTTTCTTACCTAACAATGTGTTTTTGAATTCAAAGGTTGGAGGTGGGCTTAGAAGAGATTTTTCTGAGGAATAAATAAATTACTGAAGAAACCAGAAAGCTCTCTTATAAGTAACTGTTGAACCTGTTGAATTTCACAATCCTACCTGTATATTGAGGTTGATATTTTTATATCACTTTATAGCACTTAAAAGTTAATACTTTGTGCATTTAACACACATTGCCTTCTTGAAGCTTGCTTACTAAGGAATGGAGATTCTTAGTTACGGCAAAGATTTCTTCCCAAGTAGCATTAGCTTCTTACTTGATTAATGAATTTTCTAAGGGAAAAAGTTGCAAATAAACTTAAATGCATGAAAAGTCTGAAGTAAACCTCGGTTTTCGCTGGATGCCAGTCATGTGTGCTAAACAAGGGAGGTCAGTGGTGGAAACTTACCTTTGAGACGGAGTATGTCCCTTGATCTTGCAACTTTTTTATTCCTATTGATTTGCTAGGAATCTTAGGGCATGGTAGGAGTCAGTCTGTTCTGTTTTACACTTTGGATATAATTGTGTTCACCTTTTTAAAGAGTCACGTGATTACGAAACTAACATACATTCATTAATAATTACAGCTTAAAAAATACTTTGGTTCTGATGCAGGTGCAGAATTTTTTGGCCAACCATGCTAGAAAGGTTGGGCTAGGAGGAAATTTGCTTTTACTTCATCAGAGATTTATAGTTAGATGCTGCATTTCTAAGTTGACCTTTTTCATTAAATAGATTTTAGAGAATAGTACTTCCTAAACCAGAGGACTGTAGACTTGAGAATTAGGTAAATGTTCACGTTTGCTATTGAACTTACTAGACTGTTGTATTTCACGTACCTGGCGCATATCCAGCCAAATGCCTTTTGAACTTCTGATTACTAAATTAATTGAAATTTTTTGTTTGTTTGCTGAGGAAATGAAACGTTATTAATTAAAAGTTTGAATACTGTTTTGTATCCTGCAGAATTGGAAGTGGATTTTGGTGCAGGGACCACATTTCAGTTTATTTAAATGACAGTAATTGAAACTTGCTAGCTGTTTACTTGTTTGCTTGTTACTTATTTTGGCCTTTTCTTTCCACAGAAAGTTGATGTGGAAAAATGGGTACGTGTTTCTATGTATTTACAAAAAGACTGTGATCTAAACGGGTGCATGTTTGCTGTTTGCCTCTGATCTTTTGTTTTGCTTCCTAGTGTGGCTGGTGCTGTGAGTATTCAGAGTAAATGCTGTGTTGTAATGAACATGTATTCTACCAGTCTCTAGTTAGACCCTTGTAAGTTTCTGGCTTGGTATCTATTGAAACATTCTCTATCCCTGGAACATTATAGTTTCTATATAATTAATTGACTTTGTAATTATGGTGTGCTTCTGGTCAACAGGAGGGCTTTTATTATTAATATTGTGTGTATCTTTTACCAAAAAACCTTGACTGTTTTATCTTAAAATTCTACTGCTTAGTTCTTATGTTTTCCCATGCGCTATAAAAAGGCTTTTATACATATTCATACAATCTTAAAAAGTAAAGGTGAATGACAAAATATCATAAGGAAAGAGAGAGCTGCAGGGAGAGGGGAGAGGGAGATCCTTCTAGTTCACAGCACCTTGTAATTGCGAATGGAAATTAGTCTCACCCACACCGATGTTCCCAGTCCACTTTTTCCCCAAGTGTGCAAAGCAGTAGGCCCTTCATTGTTGTATTGTTTTGTTCTTATTTGCTCTGGGACTTAGTGTGATGAATCAGTTAAGGTTGGCTTAACTGATGGCTTCATTTTACCTTCATTGTTCTTCCTGATGCTGGGATGCAGTTCTCTTTTGGCACTGTTTTGAGAATTTTGCTTTCTTTTCAGTAGCCTTTCAGTCGTGTTTCCCAAACAGCTGCAAGTCCACCTGGCTTTCTGAGATTCTTTGCTCTTTTTCACTCCTTTCAGCCCTTTATATTCAAGGAAAGTTTTGTTTATTAGATTTACCATTTCCATGATGATGGCTCCCATGTGTGGGTTTTTGAGAACTACAACTTCTATATTGTATTTCTGGGAATAATTTTAATTCACCATCTGTATCATCATAGCTAAGCTATTACTAATTTTGTTCAACTCTTTCTTTTTGAAATTTCTTACCTTCTTCTGTGACTGTGTGAAAATTCTGATCCAAGCTCCACATTGGTCTTGTCTTAGGAATGGAAGCCCATTTCTTTCTAAGATGTGTCTCATCTTTTTGTTCTCCTTCCCCAAGATCAGCCACCCTAAAACAAGTCCCTGCCTCATCTTTTTACCCCTTCGCTTCCATTCCAGTGTTTCTGTGCCATCCCCAGGTCAGTATTTCTTGAATCAACCACTCAAGCCACTTTAATTCCCTTGGAAATAGAATACATAAATGAATAAAATCCTTTTACCATGATCTGTAGGTACTCCCATTTTTCCCTCTGTGTATTTTGGTTTCTTTTTTGATCTGCCTCACTATATGGTTTTTCTCTCTCATTTTCATAGTGGTTTCTCATCTCAAAATTTATTCTTACTAGGTTTATTTGCAAACTTTTGCCATAGGGATTGCTCTGTAGTTCTGAGAAAGTGAGGAGATAACGTTGAGCTGATAATCATGCAGTTTAACCTGGCAAGTGACTGACTTTACAACTTATGTAAGCTCTTTGTGGACATTCATCTCCTTGTTTATACAATGAGAATCTGGACTAGTCCTTTCTTGTTCTAAAATATTCCTGTTATTTTAATGAGAAGACCTATTGATGCTGAAATATATATTCATTTAGATATCAGATAATGGAAGTATCTTGCTGGATTTTAGAAAACTGATAATCATTGTATGTATAGGTCTCAGTAAATTTTAGATTTGAGCTGTTTCTTTCTTTGAAGACCTGTGTAGGTCAAATCTTTTTTGATGGGAAATTTGAAATTCTACTGTAACAGGTAGAATTTGTTGCTGTTTTCTGTGACCTGAAGGGTAACAGGAAGTGATTTAACCCTGTCTGCTTGCCTGCTCTGGGGGCTCAGTCTCCCCTGCCCCTGGGTTGAATTGGTACATGTTCCAGGACTTTTCTGAGTCAGATGATGATGAGAAACACCCCCAAGTCATTTCAAGTCACAGAAGTCCTATTTCTTTAATTAAAATGCCCAAACCTGTGTAATAGGAGCACTCGATGTTAATCCAAGTTAATGGTCTGCAGTAGGCAGGAGGCTGAGAGGGGAGGGCAGGAGGGCTGGAGTCCAAATCTCGTTCCCCCTGCAAGGGTCCTCGAGCCCCTGTGCCTTGCCTGCAGCTTCTGACCAGCTGGGGTGTCGTGGGAATGAGGAGGGGAAAGTTGTCAGAAATGTCTTCTTTGATGAGAGTGTGGTCCATTGGGCTGGTCAGGTGTTCACATTGACTCTCCCTGGGGGCACTTGGGAGTATTGGTGTATTGGTGGAGATTACATTGCCAGAAATCTTTGACCTTGGGGCTTTCTTGCTGCAGGCGAATGCACCTTCTCTAGCAGATTAGTGGTGACAACTTCCTCGTCCCTGGTCATCGGTGGCATTGCGGATAGTCCCAGGCTGGCCCTGTCTAAGGTGGCCCTGCTTGCTGTTGGCAGGGCAGTCACTTCGCAGTCACAGCATTACCTGCTGCCACAGTCAGTCTCTTGGCTCTTGCTGTGTCCGAGCTCCCAGGGGCACAGCTGTTCCTGAAGCCACCTGTTCGAGACTTGAGTTGAGGACAGGCCTTGGGGAATCAGGACTCCAAGCCTACCAACAGCCTCTGTGAGAAACACTGCTCATCTCTTCGCTCTGCAGCCTCCCCTGACAGATGAGAGCTGGAGTCAGCGGCTGGATTTTCACCCACCCAGTGGGTGTCGCTGTTTGTGTGGCCTTACAGTGTGGTCTGGAATATGGTAGTATTTGCCATCACTTTGTTCTGAGTCTGGTGTCCTATTTAACACCCTGTTATATTTGCTTGTCGACAGAACACATGAAACAACCCCAGATCAAGAGCTTTAGAAGCCTTATAGAACTTAAATCTTTATGAAAGTTAGATTCGCTTCTTTATAAATTCTCTCATAGCATAATTCTAGAACTTCATCGAAAGTCAGTCAGTCTCAATAAATCTCTCTCTCTCTCCCTCTCCGTCTGCTCCTCCTCCTCCCTTCCTCCACCTTCCCTGTTTCCAGTGTCTCTTGAGCATCTTTGAACATTTGTGTTGAATTATGAGCTCATTGAGTAATCCAATGCTGCTGTCTATGTTCAAGAGAGAATAATGTTTGTGAATCCTGGTTTAAGTGATTGGCTGTACCACCAGCCCTTTAGACCCAAACCTGTTGCATTGGTTTCCAACATGGAGGCCTAGGATTGCAGGTCGTGGATGGAGCTGGGGACAGTAAAGGGATGGAGAAATTGTCATATTATAAATGAAGCATTGTCTGTAGACCAAATGATGCCTCATACACGTACTTACTCTGTTTAGAAATATTAGATGCTGTTGTAATTGCTCAAATGAAAAACGCTTTCAAATGCCTAACTCCATAGTAGTTTTGATAATGCATTTTTAACTGCAACTACTATGATGTGAGGGTCTCTGAAATGCTTTCATACTATCAAGATTCACTCATGTTTGAAATGATTTGAAAAAAATATGTTGAATCTTCTATATCCTGATACAGACAATTATTTTATATGTAGGTGGTGCTTTCTTGGCAGAAGCAGGGAAAGTCCAAAAGCCCTCGATAGCATTTCTACTTCATATGTTAGGTGTTTATGCAGCGTAGTGATTTATAAGTGTGTCACAGATATAAAATACAAGGATTTGTAGTAGTTCATCAGAATTGTTTATTTTCCTTTACCCTTTTAAAGAACTGCATAATTATACATAGATAGATGTCAAATGCTTTAGACGCACATGAAAAGACAGTCCACTTAAGCACTGTCTGTGCAGAATTTTTGACAGGTTGGCGAAGACAACAGTTGCTACCAGTCTGACCCCAAAATATAATGAATTCTTTAATAAAAACCAGCACGCACATGTGACTAGCTGCAGTGATGGTCCTACTGTGAGTGAGGCAGGAGCACTGCCATGGGCTGTGCCATCACCTGTGTGATTGCTCTTTCAGGGTCTAAAAGCTGGGCCCTTTACATGCTTCCCGGGCCTATCATCACCATGTCTGTCTGTCAGTCAGTGCAGTCACACATATTTTCAGTGGGGAAGTCCTAGGAAGTTAAGTATTTATATAGGATGTTTTCATCATAAGAGAAATTGTTGAGGGTTTTCACAAATATATATACCCATATATGCTATTAGATAGTATATACTGCTATGTGTTTGGAACTTGGAATTGTTCGTCCTAAATTTCTTTTGCCTTCAAAATTTGTTGGGAGCATCATTAATTTTAAAAAGCCGTCAACGAACCCAGGTCTGGTGGTGAAATAACTTTTCCTTTTCTCAACATAATGGAGTTTTCCAGATATATCCTCACTCACACAGGGGAGATGACCAGCTGGAGGATTATGGGGAATCCTAACATCTTGATACAAGGAGAGGAAGATGACAGAGGAGGCTAAAATTCAATAGATGCATGGTATGCAGAGTAGGACATTTCATCTCCTCAGTGGAAACTTTATGCAAGGATTTCTGAACCAAAATTTTGCCCTAGTCTCTCAGATTGTCCTGTCTGATAATTTTTTAATAGCTCCCAAATGTTTATTTTGTTGCTGTGTTGTTGATTCTTTATCTATATATTTTTAAGAAGATGTTTCGGTGAAGGTCTTTCAAAACTTCTAAGAAAGGTCCATTTATAGCAGTATTAATTTTTGTTATCAGTAGTCATTTCAGGAAGCTGAAAAAACAGTTTAAAAAAATTCAAGGTTGAACTGAAAGGCATAATTATGGTAGAGCTTTTTACATCACTTGAATCACTGTTTCTTTCTTTGTACCAGTTATAGATTGAATATAATTATGCATTCTCTTGATGTATGATATTTGATTACAATTTTCAGAATAAAATACTGCTACTTGATTTGTTTTTCTACCCATAATCATTTGCACATGCTGAGAAAATCCCTTAGGTCTTTCAGATCTACTAGATCAAGTGACATCGTGCTTATAGACCAAAGACTTCTGCATCTTTTTATCATCCATTACACTCCCAGGGCCATTTATGTTTGAGTTAAAACACAAGGATTGCTATTTCTCTTTGTGGGTTTCACGTTAAGGTAGCATAATGGGGGTTTATGTCTCCAGCTCCTGGTCACATTTGAAACTTCATCTGACCTATCAGTTCAGAAGTAATTAAACTAAACCTTGGATACTGAATTAGTGCCACTTGCAGTTTTATCCTAAAGAACTAAAATTTCCCCCTTTTTTGTTTTTGTGTAGATTGATTATCATCCCCAAATTTCTTCTAAGACAGAAAGCACCATGCCTGGACTCTGTCTTTATTGTCATCCATTTCTGGTGAAATTTTAGCTCTTTAATAGTTAATTCCTTTATTAAGCTTATTGTAAACATAAAAATTACATTCTCTACACCTAAATTGAGGCTCTTTGTTTCAGTATTTATCTTCGTGCATGAGTTTCTTTTTTTCTCCTTTTTATCATGTCATCAACTTTTAAAGGATTTTATTGTTATTCTTTTTATGTTGCTTTTTATCGTACTCAAGCAGTGTTTACATTGAGATTAAAATAATATACTTATCCTTTTCATTTTAATGTATTTTGCTTGCTTTTTTGCCCCTGAATGATCCCTTTTGAATATCTCATATTGTAATAAGCCAAATGGACCAATAGATGATTTGTACAAAAAGTTAATGTCATTAATGCGACAAATTATCTTTATGTTCTTGGTTATCTTTTGAAAATAATGTGTGTCTGTTACATCTGCTCCTCTTTGTCATTCTGTAGATGGATACTTTTAGCTTTGGCTAATTTACAGTATTCACTCTATTTCATCTTATATGCAGATCACTCTCCTCTGTAACTTGCTCTTTCTGTAGTCACACATAGCTAAAAATTATGAATATCAGACCTCAGGAACTAGACTGACCATTTTTTTTCTATTAGTACAATTCTAAAGTTTTCGACCTACGTAACTGACAAAATCAGGCTGAGAAAACTTCTGAAAGAAAAATCTCCAATACCTTTATCAATAAAAACTCACAAATCTCATGAAGAAAGTATCTGTTATAAACCATATTCTGTAGCAAAATTTTGAATATTTTTTTTTAATTAAGGCTTAAAATGATTTTTCCTAATTCTTCAGTTAGATATCACTGAAGTGTATAGATATCACTGGGGATCACAGGTAGGAATGTGATTGGTCAGTTTCAACACGGAAAATAAGTTCTCTAATATCATTTAACATTGATATTATTTGCAAGATTGTAACTATTCAGCCTGTATTTCTAAGCTGAAAATGAAATGATTTGTTACAATTTTTCCTTAAAATTATAATATTCAAAATGAAAAAATCAATCAACAAAATTGCTATTTAGAAATATACATATTACAATGTATGTCTGTTTCAGGGGAAAAGTGTGGTATTTAACATCTTTGTTAGAAAACTTCCCCTTGCTGTTTTCTTTAAAACTAATCTGGATATGTATGTTTTTTCTTCGTGGGACTTACATACTCCTAACAACAAGATTTAGCCCTAAGTTTGGAAATATAATATCCATTTTTCCTTCCTTGCTCTTTTTCAATCTCTGTACCTCTCCTGGGAATAAGAAGTCAAAGAAATTTTATGGGTCTAAAGAAAAAGAAAGGAATATATATACATATGTTTTGTGAAAGAAGATAAAGAGCTATTATAATGCAAACGTGAGAAGTGGCTGAGTCATTTGAAGAGAAAAAGAGAGTTTTTGTGTTTCTTTTCTTTGAAATTCACATATCAAAAACTAATGCCTAAGGAATTGCTTTTTGTCATTTTGCATGAAATATGGGCAGCTTTTCACAAGCGTATTAACTGATGACCTACCTTCCCTGTTTCTAATCCATGATTTTTACTTAAATTAGTTGGGTTGCTGCTTGTTACTGCATTTTTATGCAACAGACGAAATGAAAATATTTTAAAGAATTTTCAGAGTATAATTTTAAGATTATACATTTTTTTGGTCCTTAGGTATGTTATGAATTGAATCACGCATTAAAGTTGAGCAGCATGTTTTCACAGAAAAAGAAAGTACTAACATAAAACATTTTTAAGAAGAATTTTGCTTGCTACAGCTTTTCTCTAGCATGTAGTTGTTAATGTCTTGTGACAACACAGTGATTTTTTTTGTTGTTTATTGCTCATATAACTCCATTTAGAGCAATGGAGTCTTTATAAATAAGGTATTTTAAAATATCTTGAAATAATGTATATTCAATATTTTGTCTCTTTTCCTTATGCCCCACAGAAATTCATGATGAAGGTAAGGCATTGGATCATCTGCTATATATGTAATACTTTGTATGTTTCAAATTTGGTTACTCATATTTAATTTTTGAATTCATGGCACTTTTCTTCACATTTTAAAGTTTTAAAAAATTAAATCACACTCTTGAACTTTAGATTTGTCAACAAATGATGTTTGACATCTTTGGGTCAGATGGTGACGTATTATCTCTTACTTAGCCAACGATAGGAGTTTCTCCCATTGAAACAGATTTTTTTTCTATAGCTCTCCATTTTGAATGATCCCTGTGGCGGCTATACTGGCTGGTTAGTGTTTGTGCACTCCTGCACAAATAAAGAAATTCACACACTGGGCAATTAGAAGAGGCAACAAGAAGTTACTGTTAAATTACTTTCTCCAGGAGAAGTGAAGATAATTCGACCTCTTTATTTCTCAACCAAATTAGAAAAATGCAAAGATTTTAAGAGGAGATAAACTAAAAGAGAAGAGTAAAATACAGTCATGTTGCTGGAGAAGGAGGAGAGGAAGAGTGAAATGTCATTCTTTGAGACATGAAGTTGAAATTTTTTGTTTCATTATCATATAGCTGCTGCATTTCTCATAGGACATTCATGAAATTTATTTTTTAATCCTAAAAACTGAAAAACGGTCTATAGAGAAATTTATTGTGTTCATTTAATAAAGGCTTAATATAGTTTAACATTTCAAAATATACAAACTCTGAAAAATGTTAAAACAAAATTTGAACTTACATTTAAAAGGTTGCTTAGAACAAAAGGAAGCAAAGTATCCACGTCAGTCTTGAGTTACGTTCATATTTGACAGAACCCTGAACCAGGGGCGTTGTCCTGACAAACGGATCTGTTCATTAACATTAAGAATTTGGCAGTTAGGGTGACAGAGCAGAGCACTTACTTGAAATCCTCGATCAGCAAGGACCCAAAACATTTTCCAGAATTTCAAATAACTCCAGCTATTATTTTTCAGTAGAAAATATTGTTATTACGTTGGGAAGGGAGGACATTAACTGCTCAGACATATCATGAAACAAGGGTTTTGGTTGGGAAAATGTTATGAACATGAATATGTTCTCTCTTTGCGAATATTAATAAATAACTAATGAAATTAGGTTTTTTTTAAATTAGTTTTTCTTGCTAAATCTGCATTTACTGTACTCATTTTATCGCCTCACCCCTATCCAGATCCCTCGTTCAGTACCCTGTGTCCTTTTCCTTGGAGAGCGGGGAAATGGCTGGTTGCCTGAATCATGCACCTCAAGCTCTTTCGAGAGAGCAGATTCATCTAAGACTCAATGCAAACAGAAAAATGATGTCCAGTCAGTTTAAACTAGGTGGGATACCTAAAATAATTTAATTAGGCTCTGATTTCTTCTAACTGTAAGACCCGGATCCCCGTGAGTTATTTTCATGCCTGCATTGGATCACCTGGAAAGGTTAGAATTTGACTAAGCAGAGGGTATGTACATTAAACTACAATCGTTTAAACCACTTAAAGGAAAAAGATGCTAGATTTTATTCGGCTGTTACTTTTAGTCATGATTTGCTCTGGGTTTTGTGCCTGGACACACCCTGGTTAGCCTCCCAGAACCAGCTAGTTGCTTCTGTGCTCAGGAGCCCTTTTCTGCTGGTTTTCACTGAACGAAGATTCGTTAGTCCTGTTGCAGGTCTAGTCTGTTCCCTCAGGGGACTTTTGGTTAGGTGACCATCACCAGTTAGCCATCCGGTGCCCACAGGCTCTTTGACAGTGTTGAACTGGCTTGGCAGACACATTTATTTTGCACAGAAGCCACATTTGTCCTTAACTGTTATAACCATCCTGCGGATCTCTTATGTGATGCACTATTCAAGGTGGCAGGGCTGTTTCAGTAGCCCCTGCTGCCAGGGCCCCCCAGGTGGACCAGATTTCAGGCTCAGCTGGTCTGTGCTGCTCCTGTCCACCCCGTGCTGTTCATGTTTGCCTTTGGAAGTCACCAGATGATGTGAAGGCTTATGCATAGAGTTTTTTTTTTCTCCCTGAAACAACTCATTACCCAAGTATTACTATTGGTATTTGAAGGTAACCTTAAAGGCTTCTCTGCTTAAATATCTGAGTTTTGAAAGAAGTTCTCCAAGGCAGATTTCTTCTTGTTGTTGTCTATTGTTTTAAATTTTGGCAGTGTAGTTTAGTATTACCTGGGCAGTAAATTCTGTTTTTTAGGTTGCATTGTTTTTCTTCTGAGATGGTGTGTTATGTTACAATGGTCAAGGGATATAGAAAAGTTACCCTGTAGAGTCTGACTTTTAAAAAAAAAAAAAAACCCAGAAAACTTTTGCTTAATAAGGGCCTGGAATTATGAGAAATGTCCTACATTGATTAGCATAGCATTTTTGTACAGAAAAAAAAGATTAGTAAAACAGAAATCCTTAAAATATTTAGATGTTACATAGGTAGTAAATTAAATGGTTCTAAGCGGCAGTGACACTAGGAGTGTGTTAATAAGCAAATACGTAGTACAAACATGTTTTAAAAACAGGGGGAAAAACCCCCAAAACAACAAACACAGAGCCAGTGATTTTTGTGTGTATAAACCTATTTAGTTGCTCTTAGTCATTACTACCCTGGCTTTCTGTGTTACGCTTTTCTGCTGTTACATTTTAAGCTTATAACAGTAATACCTCAAATGTAGCTACAGTGATCCAGTATTTCTATCTCCCCACAGAGAAGGATAACAGATGAATAAATTATGCCTTATGACTGCATATTGCTCTAAATCAATGTAAATGTAAAAGTATTTGCATCAAAGAGTCTGCTTACAAGATGGGTCCCCTAATTGTACATTTTTGGCAAGGTCCTTGAAAGCTCAAGGCGTAGGAATGCCTAATAATACCAAGTTGGTATTAATTTGTGGGAAACTTGATGTGTGATTTGGTTAGAATACATAAAGCATTGTTGTTTGGATTTTGTTTGTACTCTGGACTCTTTTTTACCACTTACAGTTTTCGAGTTTGATTTTTTTTTAACGCTATTGTTTAATATTCACCCTGTTAGTTATCTCAGGGGTAATGGGACCAAACCTATGCACAGAACTGAAAAATCTTTTGAACTGATATTTTCAAAAAGTCCAGTTTACCTTTTATTAAATGAGTCTTGGCTCTCCAGCACCAGGAATATTTAGAGGGAGTACTTTGGAAATGGTAGTCATTATTGTTTTTTTGTTTTGTTTTCCCCTGAGAGAGCAACAGCCCCTTAGGGTCGGCCCCCTTCATCTACAGTGCAGTGTAGTGAGAGTGAAGTGGTCTATCAGATGCTGACTTCAGGATCTGCAGAGGGGCGGTGAAGGGCTGGTGACAGCTCACCAACCATACCACAGGCTCCACCCACCATAGTGGGGAGCTGGGGTTTGCAGGACAGATCGTTGCATTTTCAGAAACAGATAGGGCCCAAGTCAGACTTGAAAATGCATGTCAAGGAAATGTAAGTTCCATGTAATACTTTTACTAAAAAGACCTAGTAATTCATCATGCAGTTGGAGGTGTTAAGAAATAACACAGAATTAGTTCTTAAGCTTCTATTTTCTTTGTTGTTTGTGTGCAGATCTTTTGAAGGAAATCACATGGGATTCAGTATGTAATTGTTGAAGGGATGAATAATTAGAGAAAACTCTCATTTTGAAGGCAGAGGAAAACAGACTGTGAGCTCATTGTGCATAATACTCTTGACATCAGATACTGTACCTCTTAGGCAGTAAATACCCAATAAATATGGGTTTCAAATGAGTGGGGAAAAGTGTTTCTTTTGTGTAGTATTTACTGGAGAATTAGCAGGATTAAAGTATAGGTGGCATTAGTGTGAACACAAGGTTTATTTGTTACATAAGATTTAATTTCCTAATTCTTCCTTTAATTGGTGCAATTGAAAAGCACCGCTTACTTTGCCTGTGGTTTAGATCCCAGGGAACAATTAAATTAACATGTTAGCTTCAAAAAACACCTAGATTTTTTTTCCAAAGTGTTCCTTGAGTTTGTTGCCCCATTAACTTGATTGGTTCTTATCTGTTTGGTCCTGGCTGGATCCCCAGAGCTTACTGTGGTTATAGTTACAGCACTGTGAGCTTGTAGGTTCTGGCTTGGGTGGCCAGAGGGGAGGTCGACCCTGTTTCAGAGTGCTGAATTACTACTGCTGCTTGTGATATATGACCCAGCAGTGGTGGACTGTTCCTCATTAAAATTACTCTGGGGGGATACCATAGTCCACCTTCGGGCAGAGTGTCATATACAGTCTTGAAGGAATAACCCCAGCAGAGGCTAGCTGTCATCATAAAGTACTGGCAGTTCCCTAATGGGAGGAGGTCCATAAATACTTGTTCACTTAAAGCAAAGGCTAGGACAGATTTAATGAGAAAATTGATGTGATGTGACCATAACACAGACCACAAAAAAAGAACCAAGGTACTGCTTTGGATGCATCTCACATACACAATTCTTTTCATAAATGTTTGTTGAATAAACAAGTTATATGACCTGCCCTAGAGTGGAAATTACTGATTTTACTTTTCCTGAATCAGAGCCAATCACAATATTATTTAAAATGACAAGTTAGAGGAAAAGGACTGAGACCATGTGACAGAAATTACATTCACTGTGTTAACAGTGCCCTCTTAAGTAACAAAGTTAATTTAGTGTGGATTATTTGAATGCTTTTACAAGAATTCTAGTAAGACTAAATTTGTGGCATGAATTAGCATTTAAGTAGTGAGGAAATGTATAGTGCTTGTACTGCTCCGTGTGGTCCCCGGAAAAGCAGCACCTGCGTCATCTGGGAAATTTTTGGAATGAAACGTCTCTGTATTTACCCCATGCCTACTGGATTGGAATCTCTGAGTAGGCTCAGTATTCTTTGTTTTCACAAGCTCTCCAGGTACTTCGTAAGCATTCCTCTATCTCACATAAGGAATTTGGACTTTTTGCTATAAATAATTGGAAAGTATGAAAGGTTTTTAAGCCTGAAGATGATTTCATGAATTTTATGTTTTAAGAAGACCCATTCATTGAAGAAATATTTATTTAGTCCTTAACTGTGTGCCAGGCATTTTGTAGGTACCTGGGGTACCATTAGTCCCTGCTCAGTGCAGAGCACAGTGTGATGGGAAATACAGGCAATAAATGACTGTGAATAAATAACTACCAATTATGGTAAGTATTTACTGAACTCAAGTTCACTCTTCAAGAACAGGGTCAGCTGCTTGCCCCTCAGGAGAGGTTTTCGTGGTGGCGTTGCCACCCTTTAAGCATCCTTCCTACAGCACTTTGCTCATTGGCAATAGCCCTTACTTTATTTTTTCCCATTAAACATATCCATGAGAACCAGAGGCCATATTATCTACTTAGTGAAATATATTCTTTTGTTTTTTTTTCCTTATCGATCCTTTCTCCGCTCTATGCAGACTGCTCAAGGTGGTGGCCACCGAACACTCCTGTACGGACATGCCATATTGCTGCGCCATTCCTACAGCGGCATGGTGAGTGCACAGTTTGAGTTCGTCTCTCATGGGGTCACGCTGATCTGTGTGTGCATACATGTTCAGAAAATATTGTTGATACCATTTCATTGATGGCTTTAATTAGCCTAATGTGTTTTTAAAATATCTTTCTACCCTGTTTAGTTTTCTCATTCATAAAATGAGGGTTAGCTTAGATGACCTGTAAGCTTCTTTGGCTTTTATCATTTTATCACTTCTGTTTGTAGTATCTTACTTTTGTTAGACTAGTTTTAGGAGGAGAGAGGTGTTAAGAGTAAATTGGAAATAGTTCTATTCAAAAGTAGAAATTTTATTTTAAACAGTTCATTTGTTGGAGAATTAAAGTACCTTATTGCAAAATGGTATAAGAAAAACTGCCTGGGAGTTCCACTGTCAATTCTCCACTAACTTCTTTCCTTCTTAAGTAGGTGTTCTCTTTCTTTTTCTGTGTCATCTCCTTCTTTCACCCAGTTATCCATTTATCCATTGGGTTTCTCTCAGGCACAGTTTACTCACTCTTATACATACGTATATATATACATACTTGTGTATGTATAAAATATATAAAAATACATAAAAATTCCATTCTTTTAAAAGCTTTATTAAGTTATAAAAGCAGTATATGTTCGTTCTATAAGATTTGGAAATTACAGAGGAAAAAAAATCTTCATGATCACACCAATGAGAGAGAATTGTTGGAGACTTTAAAAAAAATTCAGTCTTTTCTGTTCTTTAAATTCTTTATATAGTTTTTTTATATCCAGATTTTTAAAACATATTTTCACAGCAAGTATCATCCGTGTTATTTAAATTTTTCATCAAATTAATTTTAGTGACTACATGATAGTTCAGTGTCTGAAAGAAGGATATAACTGATCATTCCTTTTATGAAGGAGGTAATTCCCAAAATTTGTAAATTGTTCCAGAGCAAAAACCTAAGCATAGGCTCAATACCAATACCCCCCAAAAAACACAGGAAAAAATCATCAGTCTTCATCCTGAATATTGATGTGAAAAGCCTGGTTAATAGAATCGAAAAGTATAGGAAGAGAAGTGTAGGTAAAGTATAAATATGAACTTAATGATAATACCATTTTTATTAGTGTGCTTCATCACATTAATAGGTCAAATGAGAAAAATATGAAAAATTGTGATCATCTTAATAGGCGCTGAAACAGGTTTTTAATAAAACAACACCAATTCCTAATTAAAACTAAGCACTTATGAGTATTTCTTCAATGGTAAAGAAAATACCTATGTCAGACCCACAGCCAACCTCATACTTAATTGTCAAACACTGAAGCCATTCTTGACAAAACTGAAACAAACAAAACCCTCCAAGAATATGCTGTCTAACATTGTTCTGGAAATCTTGGCTGACATAGCACTCTGTGAAATAAAATAGAGGACAACACTTTAAGTGGCTGGATACAAGACAAATGTATACAGTAATCTTTTCTATATAGCAATCACACATTAAAACTTCATGGAAAGAATTCTACTGTCAGTAGCAATCAAAGCACGTGAAGTAATAAACGTGAGAGTGTTCAGAAAACTACTCTCTGTACATAGCAGATGGGCGAGAGGCTGGACTTGGTCAGTAGGTCTGGGTCCAGGCTCGCTTTCCTGTATGCTGTACAGCCTTGACAACCTTGCTGAACCTCTTTAAGCCTATAATTGTATCTGAAAATTGTATTCATCCATTCAACATGTATTATTTAAAACCTCCTGTGTGTCAGGTACTTTTCTAGTGCTAGTTATAGTAGTAAATAAGAACATGTCTTTGCCCTTTATAGGATTAAATTAACATTTAGTGGGATAATTATAGTATCTACTGCACAGTTGCTGTGAACATTAGAGGAGAGAATGCACATTAGTAGATACAGTGTCTCCTACTGGAATATATTGGGAAATATTGCAGAAGACTTTCATAGGGACTACTTTATGTTTTGGCCTGGGTGTCAGCAGTCTAAAATCGATACTTTTTCTCAAGGGCAGATATTTAATATGCTTAGATCTAAAGTCAAAACCTCAGGGACCACCGTGGATGCCTGTCTTGAGGTCAGACTCACACTCCTACACTGGCTTGGAACATGTTTGGGGACTCTTGAATCATCTTCTCTATAACCTCGGGAGTCAGTGGTTTGCAGTCAAGAGACAGTCAGAGTCTCCAGGTCAAGTGATTTTGTTGTGGAAAAATGTGTTACAGCTCGGTGTTACAGCTTAGTTGTGACAGCAGCCTGGATCTGGGCAAGAGACCAAGCAGCACTCAGAGAGTTGGAGAACTCACTTTTATTACGCCAGCGGGCCCAGAAGAGTTAACACTCCAAGCTCTGGACCCCGTCTGTAGGTTTACACAGGCCTTTATAGGCTACCAGTTTTACACTTTGCAACATTATATGCAAATAATATATAACAGAAGTTGACCAACCAGGAACAAGCTTTGTAGAAATAGACCAATCAGGAGTGAGAGGAATGGACCAATCAGGAGTGAGAGAAATAACCAATCAGGAGTGAAGGAAATAAACAATCAGAAGTGAACTCAGGGAACCAATAGAATTTTAGGGGTAAGTAAGCTGTTTCAGAGGCAAAAAGTGAGATAGAGCCGTCTGGGCCAGGGAACCAAATGGTGCTGACACGAGAGTAGTGGCCCTGCTTGGGGGCCCTGCTGGTTTTTTTATGGGGCTTCCCGCCTCAACCACGGCACACACTTCAGCCTCACTTGCTGGCACATCTGTCCCCGATCAGTTTATCACCTGCCTCCTTACACCCTCTGAGTGGGATGGACCCCACTCCGTGGTAGGGCTTTTCTAGGCTTTGTGTCCCTTGCCCGTGATTCTGGGAGGTCTGGGCTTGCTGAGTCCAGGCGTGTCTGAGCCCACTTTGTAGGATGCCTGTTCTTTTGGGGAGTGCCCTTGGTTAGTGTAGGTGGCAGTGTGTCTTGAGCTTGTGCCACATTCATCTTTGTGTTCTCATCCTTGTAACACTTCAGGAGGGTTTTGAGGTTGGGGTGGGGGATGGAGGAGTTGGCCTGAAAAATTATCCTAAACTTTATGTCCAAGCATACAAAGTTAGGAAAAACTTAAGAGAGGGGAAAGGAAGTCAGGAGATGAGGGTGTTGTGAGAGTTCCACTGCTCCTAGGGAAACACACATAGGTGTCCACATGACAGAGCCTCACTGCAGTGAGGGGGCAGGCTGCACACCCAGATCAATTCTGATGAATTTCAAAGAATTAAGATTCCAAAAATGAAAACAAAACTAGAAGATGAAAGTGCCCAGTTTTGAAATTCCTGTTTGGAAGAAGGATTTCTAACTGTTGAACCAGGTTGCCCTTTTGCTTGTGACCATGAATGTCACATGAAGCAAGAGATGTGCAGGCACATCCCCAGTTACGTGTCTTTTACTGACAGAACACACTTCTGAGTCTTTTCCCAGGGGAACAATCACACTCCAGAACGTTGCTCCCCATGAATGCTGTGTAAGTGCACAGAATTAGACGTGGAGAGGACTGGACACTTAGTGACATCAGTGGATTCTCTGTCTTTCAGTACCTGTGTTGCCTGTCCACCTCCCGGTCTTCAACTGACAAGCTGGCCTTTGATGTTGGCTTGCAAGAGGACACAACAGGTGGGTGTCTTGGTCTGCGACGATGCTGTGTTCAGAGAGAGCGTGGCCGGAACTGGGTTGGGAGCAGTCAGGAGGCACGTGGGAGATACAGAAGGTGAACAGTCTTGGGGATGGATTCAGGAAAAAGCAGATGACTTCCTCAGAGAAGTGTTTAGGAGAAGGGGGAGTCTACATGGTGCTCTTATTGGTCATTCCATGTAGCTGGATACTCAAACTAGATGCCAAACCTCATCCTTTTGACGGAGTTGGGTAGAAAAGCAGTGCTTAGACACACTGCTGTCTGTTAACTGTATTAATGTGCACTGATGGGTTTGCGAAGTATTGCTGCATATTTCTTGTATCCTTTATCTTTCATCTTAAAAAGATTGACAGTGTAACGCAGTCAATGTCGACATTCAAACAAAGAGGTAGAAAATGTCTCCTTCAGTTCCCTGTCCACAGGTCATCGGGCCACATAGCTAGGTATTTACATACTTTTGAAACAAAAAATATGTATTAACACATCTATCCTTTTGGAGAATCAAAATAGGAGGATATAGGCTTTACTTATGTCTTTGTTCTCAGTGCTCAGAAGACTTTACACTTTATACAGCTCTGTACAGTTTGACTGTTGTATCTTTTACAATGAGCATGCCTGACTGTGGAATTAAAAGTAAGTAAAAGACCAAGTAGAAAAATGAATGGGAGGAAACAGGCCAACTCTTGTTCAGCTGTTCCTTTCATGGGTGGATCAGGTTCTCACCACCCTCCTTCTTAAAATGCTTTCCTGTACTCTAAAATTTTCACAGATAAAATGGATTAAAAATAAAGCTGTTTCCAACCTAATTAACTTTCTAATAGACTAACACATCACCTAGTACAAGAAATCCCAAGAATACCAGACACCAAATAGATAAATGTATTCTTCTGGTTTTTATTTCATTTTTATGTAGGCTCAGTCATTCCTTTATATTTTGGCTAATTGTTTTAGTTTTCTCATTGTAATTAATTTACATCAGCACACAGTTATGTGAAAGACTCTTCAGTTCTCTCTCAGTCATAATCTATATAACTTGTTTTCGTACACTGAGATGACTGCATAACAGTAAAACCCACAAAACAGGGTCATCCCTCTCCCTGTAGCCTGAGCCCTTTTCCCCATAGCTCTCTGCTTCTTCTGAATTACTGAATTATGTGCTATATTTATCATGTGTTATCTGCCTGCCTTGATCAGAATGAAACTCACAAGGCAGATACCCCTTCCTTCCCTGTTTGTGAATGTGTCCCCAGCTACTAAAGCAATGAGTGGCAAATAGTGTCTTATAAATGTTTGAGTGAATGAATGAAAAACTCCCTACAACTCTAAAAGTGTTGTTCAATGATGGAAATAAGGAATTCTGCAGGATGATAGTGAGGTAGGACTCTGGTGTTAAGAAAAGCAGCTCAGAGCACCGATCACACATGGACTTTATGTAGCTTAAGAAATGTTATTTGCTGATTCACTTACTCACTTATGCACAATGGGTTGTTACTGGGTGCCTGCAAAGTGCTTGTCCGAGCTGAGGAAACCCCATTCAAAGGCCCTGCTATCATGGAACTTACATTCTGGCATTGGGGAACTAGGAAAGAAACAAAACATAAGCGTTACCAAAAAATCATAAAGCTGAGCACAGGGAGAGAATGATAATTATTAGATAATTATTAGGATATCACTGAAATGATTCTCATTTTTGGATAGAACTTACATTTCGGTTTTAAAAGGAACTGTGAAGAGGTTGAAGAATTGTATGCCTAAGTTTGTATGCTAGGTAATGGGACTGAAGTGTGAAGAATGGACATGTGGTTCATGAAGCTGTGCTTGACTTGTTCTAGAAGTAATTATTTGATTTAATGTGTACCCAGACATCTTTATAATGTACCCTTCTGTTGCAGGATTCTCTGATATTTTACCCTTTGAGTGATAGAAACTACCCCGTTGTAAAACAACATGATAAAAACAAGGCATAGGACAGTAAAACTTAGGTGACAATACTCGTACCCAGTTTGAATCAGCATCCCCCCAAATTGTTTTAATTGTTTTTTAAATTGTTATAACATGATGTCGTATCACAGACTCCCAAGTCCTGAAAATCAAGTAGCAAAAAACTAGATGTTATTAGAGATAGCAGTGTGAGCAGTATAATAGCCTGTGATTACATAGGCCTGAAGTCAGATCAGCATGGCCTTATGATAGCATGAAGGAGTATCTTTTTAAAGCAATTCTTAGTTGGGGGGAAAAGACACCGAACCTCCCCAGATGTCACAACCAGTTTCTGTAAGAACAATCTTTGCATTCTGGTATGTCTTATCCTAAGCTAATTTGGCCTCATTCTTTCAGTTTTCAGAGTCTAAGAAATGAATTTGCATTACATTTCAGATTTCTAAAAGTTGTGTGAATAGGGCAGTTTCATTTTAAGGAGACTGATTTTGAAGGCTTATTTCATTTCCCTCTTTTATTTTGGCGTCGCTGGCAAGGAAAGTAAATTTAAACTAAGGCGTTTCTGCGTTTCACTTTTCAATCATTGTGCAGGTGAGGCCTGTTGGTGGACTATACATCCTGCCTCCAAGCAGCGCTCAGAAGGAGAGAAAGTACGAGTCGGAGATGACCTCATCTTAGTTAGTGTGTCCTCTGAAAGGTACTTGGTAAGTGTGGGAAGCAGGATTGTGTACTTGCTGATGTGATAAAAGACAGGCCAATAAAATGATCTCTTCAAAGCTGAGATTGCAGATTATCTGGGAGAATTGCTTAGAAACGAGCCTGTATGTCTCTGTGATGAGTTATAAATAGCTCCCTTAGTAGAGGAGTAATGTGACATGTGTGGAAGTGTGGCTTACCAGGATTACTTAGACAGGCTTCCCTTGTGCCTGTCTTGATATGTATGTTTGTGACATTGATGGAGCCTGTTCTTGGACTGCTTTATTAACAGCATGTAAATGCAGTCTAGTCAGGGATTTGAAATTCCATGAACTTCATTTTGCACCCAATGAGAAGGCTATATTAATGAGGCTGTGATTAGCTATTTTGATATTTATGAAAGCAACTTATAGGAGAAACACTTGCCATGCTAGAAAAGGAGAAATGAACAAAATAAAAAATAGTTTAGTTCTCTCACTGACATTGCATTGCATCAAAGGGAAGTGGCTAGAAATGGGAGATTGAAAAAAGAAGTTTATGTTTAAGCACTGAAAGTATTTTTTATTTTTGTGGTGAGGCCAGTATCTATTTAATTTAACTTAGTAAATTGTAGTTTTGCTAAATAATCATATGCAGAAGTTCATGGAAGATTGAAATCAATAGAAGTGTGAAGGATGCCTGTGCAAAATATTCTCTCTGTTTTAAGGTTGAGAAAGTAATTAAACAAATATAAAATGAGGTATTATAAACTTTACATGGATATCCACATTAAAAAAATCCCAGACATCATAGTGCATGATGATTGAAACAAAAATCAGAAATAGAGCATTGTCGCAGTTAAGTTCATCCTAGTTTATAGAAAGTGTATTCCCACTGCCATAAGTCAAAATATTATTTGTGTGTAATTGATTTAGAATTAAGTAAGTAGTTGGTACCCCTTTGCTCTGAACGTGGAAATAGGGTGGATCTAGGGATGTTTCAAGTCAATTTTTGCTTATCAACACATATAGTTCCAATTTTGAAACATTTCTAGGAAGAAGGGAGTTGTTTCACTTGCTTTGAGGTAAGAGGTAATGATGAAGGCTGGGAAATGGCGAAACAGTGCCCTGGTGTAACTGACAGGCACTGTTAAATCACATGGAGCATCTGATGCTGCAGAGCTGGAGGGAGGCGAGGAGCCTCTTTCCCTTTCTGTCTCAACTCGTGTAGGTGGAAACAGGCACCATGCACATTTCTAGGACAATGACAGTGAGTCAGCTGGTCAGATAAGCATTATTAAGCCCTTGCTGTATGCTGTGCTGTGTATGTGAAGATGATGTATTTTGATTAGGAGATACACATTTTGAGTTGTAGTTTTGCTTGGAAACCAATAGCAGCAATAAAAATAATTCATACATGCTTCTCAGTATGTAAGTTCTAAGCATATCTTATTTTGATTTTGGCATAACTATGTGTGTTTTTGCTGTACAACGTATTCTTTCCACTATACAGCAGTTTATTTGACAGGATGGCATCATTATGCACCAAAGGAGTAGAAAATTCAGAATCTCACAGAAGCCAGGGCTTGTAGCATCAATTCTACTAGTAAGTTCCTGAGAGTCACCTAATTCCTGAATTCTGGCTTCCTCCCTTGCAAAATGGTGATAATCATTCTCAGCACCAAGGTTACTGTCATGAAGCAGCAAGATGATGGATTTGAATATGCTTTGGATTAAAGAGCACTAAACCAATCATGGGAGTAATTGTGATGCATGGGGATCACCTTCTGTTACCTTCAGAAATAAACAGGCCGCCTGATTAATTGCATTCTCATATAATCTTCAAGCTAACAACTTAGTCAGTTCATTGAAGCTCCTTTTCCGATAACCCTCTGTATAGAGCTACAGACGGTTGGCCAACCAGACTGTTAAAATATCACTTCCATTTGGTAATGAAATCAGTGATTTTAGGGTTCATCTGTATGGACCTAGCATATAGTAGAAACCACAGGAAAGACAAAGGACACATTATCCATGATTTCTGTCCTCAAGAAATTAGTGGAAAAAACAAACCAGACACATGTGAGAATATCCTAAGACAGTAACCAAGTGTTAGCAGGTAGGTTAGAGATGCTGAAGGACGTTCCTGTGGGTGTAGAGAGGGTTAATTATCACCTCCCATTTCTCCTCTGGTTGATTAGCATCATGTTCATGGATTCCAGGGCCTAGCCAGTTCTTAGTGAGCAGGGTCTGGAGCAAGTGAAAAGAGCAGAAAGTGAGGCAGTAAAAGATGCTGGAATAATCCACATACTGAACCTGAATAACCAAGAGTGGATTGTGTCTGTAAGTACACATTTGTTCATTAGTATAGAGTCTGCTAAGTGTGAGTCTGGGCCAGTCACGTGGCTTCTGAGACTCGCAGCTTCTCCGCCGTGGTGTGAGGGTAATAGCCATTCACAGGGATGTTAAGAGGACTGAAGACTTAGTCCACACAAGTCTCTTGGCTCTACGAATGGCACATGTAAAATTTACTTAGTAGGTTGCTACTGATATTTACCCGGGAGATTTGTGCCTAGTAAGAATAGTCCAAGGAACTGCTATTATTTAAATAGAAGAAGAGAAAGTTAGGAAGGAGTAGTAAAGAGACTGTTATCGCTGATTTTAAATAAAGGCCTATCACGTGAAAGCAAGATTCATATTCTGAGAAGATACTGATATGGTTCAAAAGAAGTAAGAAATTTGGCTGAAAACAATTCAGTTAAAATTAACTACTAAAAATAAACCTTTCCAGCCATTGATTTTATATCTTTTCAGTCATTAGTGTCTGTTGGTCTTTAGTCTAATTTTCCTTCACTAACAATGATAGTTAAGTTAAGGTTAGACTATCTAATTGTGCCTTTGCTGCTCCAATAAAGCTTACAACTGTTTGGATGCTAAACTGATTAAAGCTGGTCTAAAGGACCGATGTTTTTACCCCTCTCCTCTGCGGGGGTGTCTCGTGGATGGAGGAGGGCGCTGTGTTTGTCACCGGAAGCCTGGGCTCCACCAAGGGTGGTCCGCCCTCCTCTGCTTTACGTGTTGAACCTCGGTACACAATTTCCCAGGAATAAAGGGTCTTATCTCCAGAAAAGGTTGTAAAACACTTATCCAGATAATGTCTTTTCTCATCTTGCTGTTTCATATTCTAATATGATGTGATATCTTAATCCTCTTTTCAGGAATATCCAAGAGAAAAAAAAAGTATTTTGCCCCATTGGAATGACCTAATTTTTTTTTCTTTCAAAGAAGGCTTTAGCAAAGTAGCTTAAATGTAAGAGAAATGCACAATTTAAAATAGAGGGAATATGGCTAAGTAGGTATTACTGTGAATCTATTTCAAACTAAACAAAATAAGGTAAAGCATGCAAAACAATTTTTATTTGTGTTAGAAAGATATAAAATCACCCAAGTATGCACAGGAATTTTCAATCTGTGGATTGGATTGCTCCCATTTGAAACATTGATTTTTGAATAATTTTCTCCTGATTAGGTCACCTATGGAAACAGATTTTTTAAAATCCATGGAAATACTACCAAACAACTGTCTAAAAGTAAATTAGGGAGAGCAGAACCTCACAACCTAAAAAGTGATGGAAAGTGCTTAAAAGAAAGCTATTCTTGGTCTCATAAAAATTTGCCCTCGTACCCACCTCTGATTTTCTGATAAGAAATGCTAGGTATTTTGACTGCATAGTAAGTTGCTGAATTGCTGAAGTTGCATAAAAATATTGATAGCTAAAGACAGCTGTCATAAATATCATCAAGCTGTTTATCGTTATTAACCAATTTATTTTTGATTTATTTACCTTGAGCCTTTTAATTTTTTTTCTCTGTGGCTCAGGTGATGGAACTGTAGACTATTACATTTGGAAAAAGCATCTATTCTATGTCCCTCGTTTTTTCTTAGAATAAAAAAATGAAGCCTGAGGGTGATGTGTCCTGTTTACTTATGTTCCCTGTCACTGGATGGTCATTTTTCCAGAGTGTTGCATCACCAGGGCCCAAGTACACATCATTTAAAAAGAGAGAAATAAATGAGTGAATAAATGCATCAGATAAGGACTTAAATGTTTTTTACCTTGGGCCTTTTTGGCAGTCTGATAAAGCTTATTGATGGCTTGTCATCATAATCTTTTAAAGTTCGTAAAATACATACATTGTATTACAAAGGACATTAAGAATATCAAAGTGGAGTCCAGGCTGAGAACTACTGGGAGGTGATTTATAATACCTTCTTCCTTCCTGAGATTTTGTGTTTCTATCGTATAAAATCTTGTTACCCAAAACAAGGTTCTTGGACCAATGGCCTTGGTTGGACCCCCTTGCACCTCCTGAATTCGATTTTGCCTTTTTTTGACATGATCCTCAGATGATTCCTGTGTCCCTGAGAACTTGTGTGTCTCTAATGAGAATCAAGGTGGTGGATGGAGCAGTTCAGCACCCAGAGCCCCTGCGCCGCTCCTGAAGGGTCCTTGCCGCCCTGTTAGTGTGTAAATTCTAGAGCTGCGTATTTCAGCCTAAGGCCAGCTTTGCTTTCAGCCTCTGACAACATCTGTTTCTGCTTTCAGGACAGCTCATCTTAGTCTCAGTAATGGAAACCGTTACTGCAATCCGAAGTATCCAAAATAGTTATGCCCAGAGAATGTTTTCTTGAGAAGAGTGAACATGGTATAGATAACTTCAAATGGTGTAATACTATCTCAAGGACTGGTTTTTTTTTTTTTTTTTTTACTCCAACAGACTGAAATTTTCCTACTTTTACAGTTCCATGTTTATTTGTCTTTAAGCTTAGATATGATTTGAAAGTTGCATTTTAATCCTCCTCCTCCTCCTGTTATGTTCTCACTGCAGTAGCTCCTTATTGCCTGAAGTCCTTGGTCTGACACCTGTCTTGTCTGAGGGCCTGTCTCTCACTCTCTTTCTGAGTTTATGCTATAAGCCTCAAAGAGGAAACTCTCTGCTGTACTTGATGTTCCCATATCTCTGCCCCTTTGGGTACCAGTCCCTCTTAGAGGGCCAGGGAGGCCCAGGCCACTTCCAGTTATGAGGTTTCTGGGATATTAAAAATGAAAATCTCCAAACTAGTTTCTAAAAGTTTTGATATGTCTTAAATACTTACACTTAGCCCCTTAACATCATTAATATTGTTAACCTCAGATCCATGTACATACAGACTTACTTGGAGACAGCATCTCTGAGTATGTAACTGTGAGGCCCAGGCCAAACGGTCCTACTGGCTCCTCGAATGCCTCACCCCATGGGAATCCCACATCTGCTGGGGAACTACCACCTGTCCTCACGGCCCAGAACAGTGAACGCTGTTCCAGTTAGGCTGGCTGAAGTGATCTCTCCTCCCAGTCTCTTACAGTTCAGCTGGCATTTCCAAAATACTGACTCCCTGCATTTTGTGGATGTATTTTACCTTTCTCGGTAACAAGCCCCCTCGGGATGGGGATTGTGCTCTGTTAATATTCAGCACGTGCTTTACACATAGTATATTCAGGGAACCAGGATGAATTAACAAATCTCTGTGTATCATAACATGGCATGAGCTTTCACTTGAATTCAGTAGCAAAAATACAAGCGCTGGTATTTTGAATCATCTTCTGATGGTTTGGTGAAATCCATATGGTTTTACAGGTTTGTGTGTGTGTGTGTGCGCTTGTGCTAGGTCATTGAAATAGGAATATTTATGGAACAACTTAAAATATATTTTTAAAGCTTATGCTCCTTTAACTTTAAAGGTTTGGTTGACTCCTCCACATCCTTGTTTACTGAGTACCCTGCTTGGTGCTGGGAGTTCAGTTGTGAGCCTGTGTCAGATAACTTACAAGAGGCAGCAAGAAAAAGACACTCAGCAATCACATTGTGTAATGAGGGCCATGAAGGAAAATGTGTTTTCTTACTTGTGGAAGCAGATGGCATATGATTTATTTGTAAATAGTTAAAGAGTTATAGCATACTGGGAAGAAATTAATTCAATAAAGGCATCTCAGGCGGGATTTGCACAGGATTGACAGGCTGAGGTGAAGAGGTTGTGAAGAGGCGGAGAGCTGGTTGAGTGGTTGAGAGGAGGAGGGGGAAGAGCAGGTTTTTGCTAAATCTCTTGCATCCACTGGCAAACTTTCCATCTTATTGATTGGAAAAATTGTTGATAAGATAATGGTATGTATATCAACTGTCAGAAACTTCTTGGGCTAGTTTTTAAGAGAAAGAAAATGAATCCTCCGTATTTGCTGGTGACTTGAGATTAACAGATTTAGACAGAAGAGACCTTTGAAATTGAAAGGCCTGTGACGGGCACCAGGATGAGTCTCCATGCTGTGACTGCCCTTCACCTAACTAGGAAGTCGGATTTCTGGGAAAGTTCTGGCGCAGTTAAAGTCTTTAAGAGCTTAGGCAGCCATCGGCATTGGAAAGTGTTGCAGGAACATTATAGGGTGTTGGTGATGTTTATGAGGTGACTCCAAGGAAACAGGTGGTTGTGCTAGGAGTGTTTGAAACTCTAGCAGCGGCCAGGTAACAGTAAAATAAGCACGGCATTTGGTGTTACTCATCATTTTGTTTTTCTTTACTTATCATTTCAGAACTCATGTATTATGGCTCTCAAAGATACAAAATATGATATTTTTTTAATACATTTGTTTTTAAGAAGGAACATCTGATATTGGCAACATCTGAATTTTGAAGGAAATTTATTGGCCTCAGTTTTGATACCTATTAGGCAATATTGCCATCTAATGGCTGTTGCATCAAATTGTAGATAAAAGTTCCCAAAGGACCCTATAAAACTAAGACATCAGTCCAGTAAATTTTACCTATTTCGTTGTCAAAACACTGTCACACTGTGATATGTAGAAAACTAAAGCCTCTAAAACAAAAGTCTGTTTTAACAAATTTATGATAGCACATTCATTTATGCGTTTTCTTTTTTACTTGAAGTATAGTTGATTTACAGTGTCATACGGCATAGTGATTCAATTATAAATATGTATTATTTTTCATATTCTTTTTCATTATAGGTTATTATGAGATATTGAATGTAGTTCCCTGGGCTGTATAGTAGGACCTTGCTGTTTATCTATCTTATATATAGTAGTGTGTATCTACAAATCCTGAACTCCTGATTTATCCCTCCCCACCTTTCCCCTTTGGGAACCATAAGTTCGTTCTCTATGTCTGTGAGTCTATTTCTGTTTTGTACATGAGTTCATTTGTATCACTTTTTCTGGATTCCACATAAAAGTGATACAGTATTTTGCTTTCTTTGTCTGGCTTACTTCACTTAGTATGACAGTTTCCAGGTTCATCCGTGTTACTGCAAATGACATCATTTTATTCTTTTTTTATTGCTGAGTAGGATTCCATTGTATAAATATACCACAACTTCCTTATCCAGTCATCTGCCAGTGGACATTTAGGTTGTTTCCATGTCTTGGCTATTGTAAATAGTGCTGCTATGAACATTGGGGTGCAGGTGTCATTTTGAAGTAGGGTTCCTTCTGGATATATGCCCAAGAGTGGGATTGCTGGATCATACAGTAAATCTATTTTTAGTCTTTTGAGGAATCTCCATTCTGCTTTCCACAGTGGCTGCACCAAACTGCATTCACACCAACAGCGTAAGGGGGTTCCCTTTTCTCCATACTCTCTTCAGCATTTCTCCTTTGTGGACTTTTTAATCATGGTCATTCTGACTGGTGTGAGGTGATTCATTTGTGTGTTTTCTATTAGTGGCTTAAGTAGTAACTCTTAGAATGAAGCTGAAAAATACGTAACGTCAAATATAAACTCTTATTTTTTTGACCAGTCTCTTAATTTTTGAGGGACGGGATTGAGATAGATGTTGTCTATGGATGTTTCCAAATCTGCGATGTTCACTTACGTATGAAGAGTCGCCCTGAGCCTGAAGTGATGCCTCATTTTGCCTCTAACACAGCACTTGTCCTACGGCAATGGCAGCTTGCACGTGGACGCCGCCTTCCAGCAGACCCTCTGGAGCGTGGCCCCCATCAGCTCAGGAAGCGAAGCAGCCCAAGGTAAAGACACCACGGCAGTGAGGAGGCTGCTCCCTTGATGCAGAGTTGACAGTCATCCTTGGAATCATGATAGTGAGCAAATGCATTAGAGGTCTTTGTGTCAAAGTAGCCTGTAACGCAGATGCGTGACGTTCAAGACTCTCATGTAAATTATTACTTAAAAGTGAAGTTTGTGTTAAGATCTATCCTTCCTTATTTTTACACTTTAGTTTATTTGTGTGTGTTTTACATGCGAGGTTTCTAGGGGTTATTTTCTCCAGTGTTCTGGCCTCAGGGTATTGCTCAGTTAGGCTAATGTCAAGATGTCTCATCCTCCGGGGCGTGGGACGTACACCTGGAGCACAGTAGTGCCTGCGCTTCAGAGTTTCCTGGGAAATGTCTCTGTTCTGACTGTTCTCACTTAGTCCAGACTTGAGCCTATCCACGCTTGTCTGTTCAGTGGAGGGTCTTTTAAGGCTACAGTCATGGATTCTAGACTTGGGAGCCCGGGACTCAGAGACAGCAGGCAGGTGGCAGCACCTGTGTCTGCGATTTTGCCCAGTTACCTAAGCCTCACTAGGCTTCTGGATCTTTGTCTATGAAAATAGAAGGTTGGGCCAGGTGACCTGTCCAGCTGTCAGCGTCTGACCACGACTGTTCAGATGTGACTGGTTTCGATCCTTCCAGGGTATCTCATCGGCGGTGACGTCCTCAGGTTGCTTCATGGACACATGGACGAGTGCCTCACGGTCCCCTCAGGAGAACACGGTGAAGAGCAGCGGAGGTTGGTACCTGAGCCCAGAGCCTGGAGCCTTGCACCTTCTTGCCTTGACACAGTTTCTTAAGTTCAGGATGTGTCTCGTCAGGCCATTTGCATAATAGAAAGTGGGCCAATAACATTATCTGTCCACTGAAGTGATCCATTTGCTGGCCTCCTCTGAAGTTTTCACTCATGTTATGTTTTGATTCCCTGTCAATAGAGTTGCTGAAAATTTTTGTCCAATTAAAACATGGTAAGAAGCATTGAATGGAGTAAGCTGAGTGGGAGGAGTGAAACATTCAGATACTTAAAACTTCATTAAATGTTCATTAGTTTCAATTAATCTTCTTTCTGGAATGTCCAGTCTCATATTCAGTTTCAAAGTCAGAGTTCTCAAATGGCCCAAAGGTTCAGGTCCTTTTCTGTTACCTTCTATTTACTGACATAGACAATAAAACTGACCACTTTCCCGTAGCTTATGTGATTTTAATTCCTCTCTCATGTTAATATTGTTTGGCATGGGACCAAGACTGCAGGGGTATGGATCACGGGGGAAGGTGCGCAAATAACACAAAACCACAAAGATACTGAGGTGATTCTGTTGTCCCACTCTGCCTCACTGGTTAGTGGAAGAGCACAGTGGGTGGGACACATAAACCAAGTCCCTGTGAGAGATGGCATTGCCCGATGAATTACTCCATGTGATGAGTTCTCCTAACGTTGGCATGTCACTTAGGTAATTATTGTTAGTAAATATTTACTTTTGTAATTTAAAGAAAGATATAGGGAATGTGTCGAAAGTTACTAAACATTTAACTAGCTGTTCCCTTGGGAGAAGTCTCTCTGGGACCTAGGTACTAGCCTTTCCTCTCTCACCAGGCAGACCTAGCTTATGGTGAAGTGTAACATGCAGAGCCTGGAAAAACCCCTTACAGGAAATATTCTGCTTTCAGTAGGTGAGGAAGAAGATGCTGATGGTGTTGGTAGGGTTTGCATAAAAGATGAGAGGGAAATCAGAAGGCCTTTGGTTTGAGGAGGTAATTCCAACAGCAGGGTAGACAGAAGACTCAGAGGGACTGCAGTGTGCTCCGGGAATGGCATTATTGCAGAGGGACGAGGGGCAGGATGGAGGAGGGGTGGGGACTGGACAGGGGGACGTGATTTGGTTGGCTTTTGAAGCAGCTGTTGTGCCTTTCCCGTGGGCTGCCTTCTACTCTGAGATGGTTAGGAAGGAGTGTGGGGATGGGGGTGAAATGGCCAAATCTCTTTGAAAAGACAAGTTCTAATGAACTAGTGGAGCTTAGACCAAAGGTGGAGAGATTTTGGATCAGGGAAACCAGCTGGGAGAAGGCCGATGTGGTCATCCATGTGAGACAAAATGAGAAGCTGAGCCTGGGGAGTGGCCATTGGAATAGGACTGCCTGGCCCAGAGACATTTCAGGCAGGTGCACTGGCTTAGGGATGACTACGTGTGGCCTGGGAGACAATGTGTCTCATTTAAGGGGAAGAGTGATGGTGTTCAAGATTGTAGATGTACAAATTTGGTACCAAGGACTGATTTAAATTTTGGACATTGGTGAGTACAGAAGATCTCTGGGACATCAAACAGAAATGGGAATGTTTGAGTCTTTAACTTAGACACAGTGTGGATTGGATATAAATCACAAGTGCCCGAGGGAGGGTTGAAGTAATGGCAGCCCTGCATAGAGAGGGAGGAGCTGTGGTTAGGGTCATGTGTGTCTCAGCTTGGGTGTTGCTTTATAATAGCTGCAGAGCCTTGGAATAGACAAACCAGGGAGGAGGCTGAGGAGAGAACCTTGGGAAAGCTGGTATTTAGGACATGGGCAGGCAAGGAAGAGTCACAGGAGAGCCAGGGTGATACTTAAATGGAGAACCGGGGACGTCAGCTGTGGGACCCAAAGGAGGATCAGGTTGTCGATGTGTTAAATGTATAAGGTGTTCAGAGAGACTTAGGATCAAAAGAGGCCTTGTCATCGGCTTCTGGGTCTTCATTCTCTGATTTGTTAAATGAAACACTTCAACCAACTGATTCTTTGAACCTTTCTACTCTTTCTACAGAAACTCTAGGGGTTTCAAATGAAGGGACTGGGCTCTGGAACTAGACAGACTTGGGTTGGGTCATCACCTCTGCCTCTTACGGGTTGTGTGACTTGTGCAGGGGACTTAATTTCTTTAAACATTATTTTTCTCCTCTGTAAAATGCAGCTTAGATATTAGCTGCTGCTTCATGTGATTGTTGTGAAGATTCAATACAAAAATGCACGTAAAATACTGGATGCAATTAAGAGATCAACAAATTTATTATTGTTGTTTTATCATTGCTGTTTAGATAGAAGAGCAGCACTTAGTCAGATATGGATATGTGGGTGGAAGTGTGGTGGAGTGTAGACTTGGGAGGCAGAGAGGCTGAACTATGTCAAAGAAATTCTCTGCTCTGTTGAACTAAGTGAGGTGGGGAGGGGCTTCTCATGCTTGCTAAGTAAGCTCTAGGTGCCAGGAACGTATGAGCATGGTTTTTGAATAGTTGGATGTTTTCATTTTCAAGTGAGAATATTCGGCATCAGATAGATCCCACATCTCCTCGACTGAACTCACTGGCACTGACTGCAGGTTTCCACCTCTCCTGGGCACTCTGTATGTTAAGTAGGTGTTTTATTAAACGTGGCACTTGAGAGCAGGTTTCCTGCTAATTCTTTAGGTAGCTGGTTATTACAGAGAAAACTAGGGGAAATTTCAAATACATTTTAATATTCTGGGTCTACTCTCCCATTGCATGCATATTGAAGACTGCTCCATCCCCAATATAATTCTTGGTTTAATGTTGACAATTTCTGTGTCAAATTAGTCTCAAAATATATTCAGGTCAGCATACCGCTGCTCTTTCAGGTAGTCATGTCAGTAAGAACATACTGGTTCGTGCCCCTTGTATGGCGTGTTTGACAGGTGGAATTAGATTTAAATGGTTGTCAGGTCATGACTTGAGGGAGAACATGAG